ACTGCGAGACAAGCCCAACGCGTGGCAGGGCGATCGCTTCCAGCTCATCTTCGTCGCCTCCAACCTTAACGAGGGCTGCCCCGGCTTCGACTAAGTAGCTTGTACAACAATCCGCCACACCCTGTGATTCTACAAAAAACCAAACAAAAATGTAGATAAAACGCAACGTTGCCTCCTGTACCTGCTTGCTGCTTTTGGTTGATGATTTGGCTGTTGGGTAGTTGCCCTATGCTGGTGGTTGGGCCACGGGGTCTAAGTTTTGGCTCGGTCAAGGGCACACATGTCTTATGTGTGGCCTGGTCGATTTATTGTTACCAGGTCACCTAGCAGTCGGCCAGCGACGCCGCGGCGGAGAACGCTGATGCAAGCACAACAGCGACAAATTGATCTACTTCGCCCCAGCCGACGTCGCATTGCTGTGTTGTGAGAAGATGAAACACAACACCGGCAGAGAGGTAAGAGGTGAGAAGTTCGGACGCAACACGAATGTTCCCCCACGTGCTCGATTGATGGGTGTGTGTGGTGGTGCGCGCGCGTACGTGAGCCGTGCGGCCAGCAGCTCCAGTGGCTTGCGAGTGTTGATGTCCTCCTTGGCCGAGAGCTCGACGTACTCGAGCCCGTGCATCTCGACGAACTGCGAGACAGTCTCGGGCGCCACAACCCTCTCGGTGAGATCGCACTTGGCGCCCACCTGCCGACCCCCCACACATTGTTGAGATTCTGTTGATTGATCGGTGGGTGGAGAACGGTGAGCGGCGCACGTACCACGATGATGGGTACGTTGCCGCACACACGGGTGATGTCCCCGTGCCAGTGGGTCACGTGGGAGAAGGTGACACGGCTGCCCAGGTCGAAGAAGATCACGGCCGCCTGCCCTCCAATGCTGCACTTGCTCACCGTCACGTCAGTTTCCGTGTGTCGTGTGTGCGTGTGGTGTGTGTGGTGTGTGTGTGTGTGTGTGTGTGCGTGCGTGCGTGCGTGCGTGCGTGCGGTTAATGCGGTGTGTATCGTGTGGGACGCACAAGTAGCCATCGCGCAGACCGCCGAACTTCTCCTGGCCGGCGCAATCCCACATCTGCCCAGAGAACCACTCCACATGAGAATGACCACCACGCGGCGGGGAAGAGGGAGCGCGCAGGCGTTATTCCATACCGAGAAGCGAGGGGACTCCTCGTCGATGGATCGAACCGCAACGCCCAGCGTTGGGTTGTAGGCCGTGGGAAAGTCGTCGCCGAGCTGCGGTGATGCAACGTCGGGTGAGATTAGTGCGCGCTTGGGCGGGGAAGGGGTAAGATGGAGGGGGTGGTGGTGGTGGTGGTGGTGGTGGTGGTTGGGCGTACGAGCTTGGCCAGCCAGGCCGTCTTGCCGGTGCCGCCATCACCGGCCACGATCACCTTGTACTGAGTGCCTGCCGCCGGCTGCACACCACCACCAGCAGGGCTGCTGCCGAAGAGGCTGCGACCTGTGAAGAGGCCGCCACCACCTGTGCAGACAGAGCGTCAGAACTGACAGAGCAATCAAGTGTCGTGTCGTGTTGCGCGCGCGTGGAAACCTGTGCTCGTCGGGGCGCTGGTGTTGGAAAAGCCGCCGCCGCTGCTGTTGCTGAACAGACCATGGGCAGAAGCGCCACCCAGCTGGCTGCCTCCTGTGGTCGATGTCCCAAACAGGCCGCCGCCGCCGCTGGTCGGGCCAGCGGCTCCGCCAAACAAACCGAAACCTGCTTCCACCTTGGGCTCGCACTTGGGCTCGCTGGGCCACGAGAACCCTGTGGAAGCAGTCGTGGTGGGCTTGCACTCGTCCTCCGGCGCCCCAGCCGACGTCGCCTTGCTATGTTGTGAGAAAATGTAACACATAACACCGACAGAGAGGTAGGAGGTAAGAGTAGGTGGTGGCGGTGGCGGTGGTGCGCGCGTACGTGAGCTTTGCGGCCAGCAGCTCCAGTGGCTTGCGCGTGTTGATGTCCTCCTTGGCCGAGAGCTCGACGTACTCGAACCCATGGGCCTGCACAAACTGGGCGATGGTCTCGGGCGCCACCACCCTCTCGGCAAGCTCGCACTTGGAGCCCACCTGCCGACCCCCGGGGGCGAAGTAGTCGGGGCATTGTTGAGATTCTTTTGATTGATCGGTGGGTGGAGAACGGTGAGCGGCGCACGTACCACGATGATGGGTACGTTGCCGCACACACGGGTGATGTCCCCGTGCCAGTGGGTCACGTGGGAGAAGGTGACACGGCTGCTCAGGTCGAAGAAAATCACGGCCGCCTGCCCTCCAATGCTGCACGTGCTCACCGTCGCGTTAGTTCCCGTGTGTCGTGTGTACGGTGTGTGTCGTGTGGGACGCACAAGTAGCCATCGCGCAGACCGCCGAACTTCTCCTGGCCGGCGCAATCCCACATCTGCCCAGAGAACCACTCCACATGAGAATGACCACCACGCGGCTGCAGCGGGGGACATGTGGAGCGCGCAGGCGTTATTCCATACCGAAAAGCGAAGGGACTCCTCGTCGATGGATTGAACCGCAACGCCCAGCGTCGGGTGGTAGGCCGTGGGAAAGTCGTTGCCGAGCTGCGGTGATGCAGCGTAGTGAGCTCGGTGCGCTTTTGGACACAGGGGGCAAGATGGTGGGGGGGGGTTGGGCGTACGAGCTTGGCCAGCCAGGCCGTCTTGCCGGTGCCGCCATCACCGGCCACGATCACCTTGTACTGCGTGACTGCCGCCGGCTGCGTACCATCACCACCATCACCACCAGCAGGGCTGCTGCCGAAGAGGCCGCCACCGCCTGTGCAGACTGAGCGTCAGGATGATTTGAAGAGAGAAAACAATATAAATGGAGTTGGTGTGGGTAAGGGTAGTACGCTTGCACTCATCTACCGTCCTCTCCTCACTGGCCATGGCTCCTCGGGTCTTGTCCATCTGTACTCTGCTCTCGCGTTTATATTCGATAGACGGCCCGATAAGTAAGTAGGAAGCGTGGTTTTTGTTCATCCCCGAAAAAAAAACACCGCAAAAAAAGTCCCGCTGGTTGCCAGTTTTACCGCGCAGAGCCGACAACGAACTCGTCGGTGACGGCGCTCACCTACAGCAATGCAGGGTCGGCCACGAACACCAAGTCCTCATGCCTGCATGGGCGCCATCGGTGCGCGTTGGGTGAGGTGAGCAAGCAAGGCAACCTACGACCACAACAACACACAACACACAACACACAACACACAACACACAACACACAACACACAACACACAACACACAACACAGAACACAGACACAACACATGGGAAAGGCAAGCGCAAGGGCGGGGGTCAAGTGAGTACCCGGTGAGCCGGCGCGCGAGGTAGAGGAACGGCTTCTCGAAGTTGTAGTTGGACTTGGCCGAGATGTCGTAGTACTGCATGTTCTTCTTCCGGTGGAACGTGATTTGCATGGCCTTCACCTTGCGATCCATGACGTCGACCTTGTTGCCCACCTGCACTCCCCCGGCCATGGAATGAGTAAGACTCATTTCACAACAAAAGAAAAATAAATTAACGAGTGAACAACGTACGAGTACAAGAGTGGCATCGGGAGAGACGCGCGAGACCTCGGCGTGCCATTTGGGAATGTTCTTGTACGTCACACGCGAGTGGTGTCGAAGAACAGCACGGCGGCCTGCGCCCCGATGCTGATGGACATGCAAACGAGCAAGCAAGCAAGCAAGCAAGCAAGAGAGAAAGTGTGAGCAGTGCGAGGAGAGCGCGGAGGGGGGGGGCAACGCACTAGTAGCCTTCACGAAGGACGCCGAACTTCTCCTGCCCTGAAATGTCCCACACCTGAACGGCGACACGCACAGAGAGAGAGAGAGAGTACACCACATTGGAGGGGGCAGATGTGTGAGAGAGGCGTCGACATCAGCACAGTGATGAGGGAGAGTGCGCACATTGAAGATGATGGGGCCGTAGTTGGTGTTGAACTTGAGCGGGGTGAGCTCCACGCCAAGCGTGGCCACGTACTTTGTCTCAAATTCGCCCGTGCGCTGGGGGGGGGAATAAATGAAAATAGTTGGCATTCGCTGGCGTCACGCGACACACACGACACACACGACGCACGACATACGTACGTGACGCTTAACGAACGTGGTCTTACCCGTAGCACCGTCGCCCACGAATAGCACCTTGAACTGCCTCGCTGTGCATGCCACGCGCCACATTCCAATCGTTAACACGGTGCTCACTGTCAGTGGTCGTTGTTGAGTGCCCCCTACACCCACCACCCAGACGACAGCGTACCAGAGTCCGTCGAGGCGGCGTCGAGCACAGTCGTGGCCGCTGCAGACCAGTCATCATCGTCGTCAGCTTCCAGCTTGAGCTCATCCTCAGGCAGACTGGCCCACGAGAACCCTTCGGAAGCCAAGGTCGGTGCCGGGGCCGGGGCCGGGGCCGGGGCTGGAGCCGAGGTCGAGGCCGAACCGAACAGCGACCCACTAAGGGGGATCACGGCGGCCTTGGGCTCGTCGTTGACGATGCCGCCGCTCATCGGCGCCCCAGC